AAGAAGTTCATATCTTCTAGTTTTCTTTTTTTATACGACAATATTTATTTGTTACCTCACATCATAATTATCCTCCTTATAAATGATTCAGTGCCAAAATTTTTTCTGTCAAACAAGCAATGGCTTATGCTGTATCAATCCCGCAAATGACTGATTAGTCTGTAAATATATCTTATCATATTGTGCCAGCAATAACAATATTAATAAATAAATTAAATACTTAATATTTCTAATGGAAGAAGCAATTTAAACAATTAACTAAGTACGAGATATGACTTGAGAATATTGCATGTAAAGCCTCGCATGCATTACTAGAAGTAGCTAAGGCTAAGCGGAGATTTGTGGCCGCGTGCGACATTCGCAGTTGAAGCGAGGTCGACGGAAACCTCATGTGAGCGTCGCAATGCAAATTACCGTCCTCATCCCGTATACACCAAGTGGAATAGAACGAACTGTTTTGCTTTATTTGTTGTTCACATTCTAAAATATTGAATCTAATATGACATATAAAAATCCAAGTAAATATATTTTGTTTAAACATAATATACTCAATATATACCTGTGTTGTATATATCTGTCCCTAATGACGGTTTAATACTGGAAGGTGTTCTCTACCAGTTGTACATTAAACAAATAAAAAATAGCAATACACTTATATCCATGAATTAGATAATATATATTAAATATAATAATACATACATTTATACACAAAATACAGATAAAAATCTTCCTTTATTTTGATATAAAGATTTAAATATATCTCTTATACAACGTCATAAATAAACTCAGAAATTATTCTAACAAAACAGGTAGTTGCTCTATGATTATGTGAAAGAAATGACGTCATTATAATAAAAACTGATGAAAATTGCCTCTGGCCTTTGTTAACATTATTACATTTTTATTTTTTGTTAAATTATTTCTGACGAAGGTTTATTTATAATTATTTTTATCTTTATTTTTCAGTTTTTCGTTTCAATTTTCTCTTACGAACGCTCAAGTTGTCGAATGGACTCCATACCGAGATTTTTAGTCTACAGTATAAGTTTTTTCAAAAAAGGTGTATTAAGGTTTTTAGGGTTGACAACAATCACATGACACTCCTAGTGTTACAAGCGTCCATAGGCTACAATGACCATCGGACGGGCTATATGCTTGTTCGCAATTTTCGTGGTTTAAAAAAATTACTAATATGATTCCACAAGGGGGAAAGGGATTGTTAGTAATAAAGATTGAGAATCCTATTGTTAGCAATATACCCAACCAGGTCGACCTCCTCGCGGTTCCACCTGGAAACTATCATGGTTAATTCCTGATGAATTCATCATGATGGGCTAACTGGCTGGCTTTCATTCTCATCTATCACCCTTCACTGGTGCTCCGCCAGCGTATCACGTTAGCCCAGGCCATACCATTTTCACCCATCAAAAAAAATATGATTTCTCAAAGAATCATCATCATATCAGCCCTTATCTGTCCACTGCTGAGCATAGGCCTTTCCCTATTGGAGGGTTTTGAAAGTAGTTACCTCGCTTGACAGACGAATTGGCAACTACAATTAGGCTTTGGTAATATTTAAAGAGGGACGCAGCTGCCCATCCCTCTAACATTAAGTCCACTTACGACACCCACGGAAAAATAAGAGGTAACTTATTTCTATGTCTAGTCGAACCACATGACTGATCGAGGAATATTAAAATGATGATTGGATTTTATTTAACTTTGTATCTATGTCCAAATTTAGTGACTTTTAATTGCTTAGTAAAATAGCAAACCATGCCGATTTCACTGTTTTCGTTTTTCATAAAATACACATACAAACATATTTCCTAATAATTATTATATTACATAAAACTTTCTATACATAAAAGAATTGAAAATTAGTTAAAAGAAGTCAAGCCTCTTTTAATATTAGTTTAGATATACGAAAACACGTAACGTTAAATCTTTTAAAAAAGTATGTATCTTGATTACAGGTCGAATTAAATATCCCTAAAATACCAACGTTCTTCCCAGTCGAATGTTTGATTCGATTGAAAACCAGGCAGTTAGTGGCAACAAATAAATACGTGGAAAATATATTAAACACACATATGTATTGTATATCTGTATTTGTACTGAACACTTACGGTGTATCAATCACAATACGCGCCTGGCATGATGTACGTGCGCGCGGTAATAGGATTGTCGGATCAGCGATTCAGCTTGTACCACGCGTACAGAATAAAAAATAAATAATTATATCAATTCCAAACCCTTGTATGGTTCAACGCCTTTTCGGCAAACTATAGGAATGTGTCACGAATATCCGGTTTTTACTTTTGACATACCGATCGAACTATCCTTGATCCTAAATTTTTTTATATAGGTACGAATACATACATATTTTCCTAATAATCTAGACCAATGTTTTCTTCAATGTTCGTGTGTACAACTCGGAGCATCAGGGGAGGAAGAGAATGTTAATAATGGGTCTAACAACCCCATTACTAGCCACCCTATCAGAAAAACGAAGAAATAATTAGATAGGTCAAATAAAAAATAAGTGTCATATCGTATACAGAAGTCAAGAATATAGGCTGGGACAAAGCCAATTGAAAAAATATATACAAATTATTTGCGTTGACAACACGAAACTTTAAAATTGCAATGAATAAACGATATTATACAGTGTATTTTTAATAATAACTGGAAACCAAACACAAGTATACGAGAAAGTAATAAAAGTTTTTTAAAAATTTTATTTTACAATTATTCAGGTAAATCAATTTTATCCCCTTCAAAGTCATAATGCAATGTGCCAACGCCGTTTCCACTGTGAGAAGGCTCCTTGAAAGTCCTCTGGTTGTAGGTTTCTCAGCTCCGTCGTAGCTTTTTTTATCTCATTTATGTCCCCCAAATGCCCCCCCCGAAGTACCAATTTGGTTTTTGGGAACAAGAAGAAGTCACACGGGGCCAAATCCGGCGAATAGGGGGGGTGTTCGGTCACCGTAATGGAATTTTTACTCAAAAACTCACGGACAACAAGAGAGGTGTGGGCAGGGGCATTGTCGTGGTGAAGAATCCAACGCCCCTCTCGCGCCAATTCTGGACGAACTCGTGCCACACGAGCTTTGAGGCGTCTGAGAACATCGACGTAGAATTTTCCATCAACTGTCTGGCCTAACGAATATGGACAATCCCCCGAACATCGAAAAAAATCAACATTGTCTCGGCCCTCTCTGAATCTTTTTAGCCACTTGTGGACGGTTGGTTCCTTCACAGCATCATCCCCATAAACTGTTCTGAGATCGGCAAAAATTTCACGGCCATTCTTGCCGAGTTTCGAGAGAAACTTGATTACGACGCGCTGCTCTTCAACGGAAGCGGGCTCCATGCCGACGGGGTTTCGTTAAGATGCCACAGATGGCGTGACAAGCCAGTACGATCAGACCAGAACTGAAGCATTGTTAGGGACATAAGGAAGGGGTCCTGCGCTTACCTGGCCTCCCCACTCCTCTTTCTCGCATTCCAGAACACTTTTAGAACTTTCCGGACAGACCTCGTAAGTCACTATTGATTGCAAAATTTATTATCAGAATAGGTTCATAATAGGGAAAATATTGCGTAACACAAGTACATGCTAAAAAATACAAACGAATTAAGATCCTCCTTCTTTTTGAAGCCACTTAATAAAATTAGACGAGCCGAGAACAATATTTTTGAGGATTTTGAAATATCAATTTTGAAAAATATCATGTAGACAATAAAGACTGCCACAGTCAACTCCGCATAATACACTGGAATCTGCCATTGAAAAATGCCAATACCATATACGATCAACTACATTTTATACGAGACAGCATAGAACGAGACTTCATAGATTCAGTTAGTACATAGTAAAAATCAAAGTCATCTTAATATATGAATATATTATTAGGAGTATAACAAACATATTTAAAAATAATTTTCAACTCATTGCATCGGAATATTCATGTATGTATATATGTATCTTAACATACACAAAATTTAAGTTAGTTAAAAAGTACTTATTATTCGTAACTATATTTCCAAATTATAATCTTCATTCTACTTGACACATAGAAACTTCGTTGTCATTGCTCTATAAGCCATTTATCAATAATCTAAAATACCTCTAACAGACCTTCAAACATGATATGTGCATTGCATTATTTATAAATGATATATTAAAATAGGTATTTAACCTACTTAGAAAGATATTACAGGCTTATAAAAAACGAGATTCTATAAAAAAAAGCATAAGAGCCACTAGTTGACCTTAAAGTTATGACAATTCACTCTACATTAGTCCATTTCGGCGTTGTATTTACTATTTACTGTCCATTTTACAATTTTTTTTTATTCAACTTAGAATGGCAAACATGCTGACGGCCTACCTAATGGAAAGCGGTAACTGTCGCCTATAGATATGAGCAGTTCCATGAACATAACAGAATATACTGTTTCGGTCCATGCGTTGCCATTCCTGAGGACTCAGTGTTATTCCTCTGTACCCTGTAAATTTACTGCCATATCCCACCTTCCAAACCGAAATACAGCTATGCTAACACAACTGCTTCACGGAAGAAACACGAATGAGACAGAGGTGCCCAAGCAAACGGCTCGTACAATGTCTCCCTCTAGTTATAAGTACATAAAAATAAATTTATACTTTATCGATAAGATCCTTATTATCCTTATAGATTTTATCACAAAGAAACTGATTATTATAATATCGTTTTAATTTTACTTGTAACTTTATTAAATATGGTCTCTTAAATTAGATAATGATCTAATTATAAATTGCTTACGTGATTTGAAAGTGCCCGTGGGCGGGCATGCATTAGTGATTTATCAAATTATAATTCAATTTAATAATGCCCATCAGTGAACTTATGATAACAATTAACAGTTGTTACGTACTTATATGATAAAATTTCTTGAAAATTTGAAATAACTAGAATGCATAGTACACATTAATTAAACAGGAATCTACTCACCATTTCGAGAGACATCTAGCTCGACTAAATTTTCAAAATTTTGTATATCTGGTGGAAGTTTGTGTATTTCATTATCACTAAGACCTAATCTTCTTAACCGATGTAGTCTGAAGAAATTCTGAAACAACAGAGAAAAAAATTATTAAAATGTTTTAAACATGTGTTAAGAACACCTTTATTCATGAGCACTGTTCAAATTTGGATCAATAAATTTATGATATTTCATTAAAATTGTATTTATTATATCTTGCCTTGTCATTTTAACACCTCAACTAATATATATTTTACGTAAACATACGTTACTCTTAATTCTGAGAGTCTACCAAGAAATGTTTTTTGAAATTTCGAGGCCGAACGAAACACAAATTTGATGTTAAAAGTACATGATACATACCATTTATAAATATTAAAAAAGTTAAAATATCGTTCCTTTTGGACTTTTAAAGTAGGATTTATAACAAACGAAGTGGCAAGCTCGATTTACTGGGACGACTTCGGTATGAACAAAACACGATATTAAGTCCGAAAATTCAGAATTACATTTCATGGTAGACCCCCTGGTTACTTAAACAAAGTCGCGGGCATAACTAGTATATTTTAGGTAATATTATTCTCATTATCTTAAGACAATATTCGGAAAAGTCTATTCCTAAATAACAAAATAAACTAAGAAAAAGTAATTACTTTATCACTTATCTAAATTGATAAAGCATAAATACATCATTAAATAGTGTTTGACTTTACTTGACTCCTTCTACTAAAATTTAACCATAAAAATGTAAACTGCTGATAACCATTTACTAGTAGCAGTTAGTAGCTATACAAGAAAACAAACTATTGTATTTGTGGATTTATCGATTTTTTGTATTTTGTACAGCCAGCGTAAGATTATTGAATAATAGAAAATAAGTTGTATTACGCTGAATTAATTGATGTTATGTTGTTGTTTATATTACCATATCGTTTATTTATTTGTTGATGTCAGTGATTAGTTGGTAGATAACTTTTTAAAAATAAAACAAAAGTGGTTATAAGCGTGATAATAAAAAGATTTTTAAAATAGGTAAAAACCAAATGATGACTCCGCCTACGCTCAAGTCACTTGATATAACGAAACCATAAGAAATAACCACGAAAGTTTCTAATAGTATTAAGGTAGTCCTAACAGGATACATCGCTAGCAATGGAACAGCTAGTTCCCATTACTAATAATCCCCGCCCGCTTGTCATTAAGGATAAATAGGTCACCCCAGTAAAAAGGTCGTTCGTTTTTATCAAAAGTATTGTATTCCGTGCACCAACTCTAGCGTTCGAAGAGTATATACGAACCAGTAGAAGTCAAAAACAAGACATTGTTTTATTCTTATTATCCTATACGAGACCAGATTATTTATCTTTTTTTATAAAATTTAAATATATGCATGACTACATCCCTTAAGGCAATTAAACAGGTGCCAAAAAAAAAGGTGCCAAGTGGCTTTTGTAATAATTTAAAGGCTATTTAATGCAAATAAACTAATTTATTTTCATTTTAATTTCATTACCCGTCTATCAATATCTATATCGTCTTCATTATTCTTAGAACATACAAAATACCCATAACCCAAATCATCTGGGATCATTTATTATGCTAATCCAAAGTTGTTCTAATAGCAAAAGGACCAATTAAATAAGTTATATTAGACTATCAGTTTCCCGCAACTTTGCCTATGCAGAAATCGTTATTCCATGTACCTAGTAACTTCGGAAAATTCCTTGTTTTTATAAAAAAGTGCCCATGTATAAAATTTTGATTAAGTAACAAACATGCAAACATTAAAACATGTTAGCAAAATTTCACATTTATAATAGTAGTAATAACAATATTTGGTAGGTAATAGGAAATAAAGATTATTTCTATTGAGAACAGTGCTCAGACTTAACTAAGATGAATAATATTCATGGCAGAAATTCTATCATGAGTGTTATAACTTTTAAAATAGAGCCTAGCCATAATACTAATAATTTATCTATTTAATGGCCAACATCCTTCTCTAATGGGTAGAAATCCACCTTAATGGGATATTACAGCATAATACAAACTTTGTCAGCAGAAAACTAACAGTAAAATCTATCATCTAATAGGTTTCAAAGTTTATTCTAACAGTCTATATTTTGCTTGTCCAAAAAAATAAGTTTTTTTTAATGGGTAATTAATGGCATGGTTATCCTGCCGGCGCTATCGTTATACACTGTTAGCAATGGGGACTATTTGTTTATCTGTATCTTTGTTTCCCCACCTCACAAAAACTATTGTAGAATATAGGATCCAGTCATTACAGATATATTCCAGAATTAAAATGTGATAAATGTATGAATTAGAAGTTGTATGTTTAATTCATTTTCCTACTTTCATAATCCACTTATACAAAGCCATGAGTAAAATAAAAATTTTTATATGTCAGCACTTTGTATTTCTTGACCTTTTTCCTTTAATTCAGAATCATTTCCATAAATTCCAAAGAATACCAAAATGGCTATTAGATCATTTATAATAAATATGATTCTTTAAGCCTGAAAAAATATACTTAAATAAATATACTTCTTGAAACACAAAGTACTTCCACATCAGGGTGGATGATTATTTACTTTATTGTAACAAAATAATGATGACTATTCAACTATTTAGAACCATATATCAGTTTTATCAAATATGGAAATGGATTCTCAAAGGAGAGAATTATTTCTACATGACACGTTTTCATCTGCTTGCTCACAAAAAAAAACTGAAAAAAAAAAACAGATATAATTTTTTAACACTAACAGGACTTGAGGTGCTGAAAAATTTTTCATTCCTCATTTTTTATATAATATTGGTCAGAGACAATGAGTTGCTCAGTTTTTTAGTTTTTAATTTAGAAACACCCACATATATATATTTTTAATGAAAATGGAATGGTGACTCTGCCTGCACTATCAGTATACACTGGTGGGGTACCAATGGAAAATAATAGGCGAGAGTGAATGCAAGTCAGTTGGCCTAAATAGGTATATTTAAGGGGGACTGGATGGCCTGGTCCACCACAGAATCACCTGGTGTCCAACCATAATCAGCAGTGGGGCTCTCAGCTTTAAGTGAAAACATATCTAAGAATATGATATCTTTTCAAGAGGTCAGGCTTCCAGTGAAAATGATCTTAAATATTATCATATCATGCCAATAGCTGATGTCTAATCTATTCCAGAAAATAAGTGAGGTCCAGGAGGTATCAATTACTAAAATACTATCTTTAATGACTGTTCAAAATTAACCTTGTTGTAATAAAATGTGGTTCAATTTTAAATAAATAACACATTTTGTTAGTTAATTAAATGATTTGTTGTGGTGTTTATGACCATTGAGAATGTGGTGTGACATGTAAATTAAAAAAAATGCCACACACGACAGTTAAACTAACCATTTATGACTCATCAAGTACATATTAACATTAAACAAGTTCTGTGTCGTTTGCCCATAGCATTAAACCTAACTTGCAAGATTCCAGGAGACCCAAATTCTAACAATTGTTTTATTTTGGTTTGTCTAAAGCTTGCCAAGACTTATATTCAGTTGCAATTATACTAGATTAATAATTAAGATATTGCAATAACTAATCATTATTGTTTAATTAGGATATTGGCATATTGGATAGTAATGGAAGTATTAAAGCTTTAAATATTCACTAGAATTACAGATTACATTTTGTTATCAAATTATAAGGCAAATTTTGTGAAAAAATAATCTCGGACTTGTCTAAAATTGTTTTCATCAACAATTTTGAAGCGAATAACGAATTTGTAAATAAATGAAACAGATAAAAATATAATGATAAACAAATCATTAGAAATGACAATTTGTAAATTACATTTTTATCGTTTGATGAACATAGTACTGTGTTTTTAAATAACGGAATTTAAAATAAATAAGCATACCCAATCAGAGCAAAATGAATTGATGATATTTACAACGAAGTGATAAGGTGAACGCCCACGAGCGAATTTGAGTCTCTTGTAGGTTACTGCAAAACTTACCTTCGGCAGGTCCCGTATATGATTGGCATCCAAAAAAAGTTCTTCCAAACTCCTGGAATATCGCAATATGTCTTCAGGCACTGTTGGCAACGAGCAATGCCGCTTGTCTACACATTCCACTTGGCGATTACATTTGAACAAAGGTATACATCGAAACATGTTGGACACTACACTTCAAACAAACTATAATTAAATAAACCACTATAACGACACATATTTGAGCACTTTCAAGTATCTAACACTATTTCGTCATTGTAAAATGTTATTGATAATGAAAATAATCCAAAAATTGTAACTTGCACCTCACCCTAGAAATAGAAGCCACAAACTGTCAGTGTTACCAAAATAGAATTATTTTCGTACTATTCTTTATAAAAAAAAAGTACAGTAGATTCCTATCAAAATCTACTATACCAAATTGGTAGAAAATAAATGTATAGAACAAAGAAGTACATTGTACTAAGTCTATAAAACAAATTAGCCGTGATGTTTTAATAAAATCAAACTACTTGTAAAAATAACATTTTATTACAACTGTATTTGATCTTTTAGCAACTGTTATACTGTTTTAATTTTAATGTAAAAACTACCGGTTTAACTTACGTATAATTAGGTTGAGAAAGTTAAATTAGTTTCAAGATCAATTCGTGATTCTTAATTATGATCAACTGTGACACGAGTGAAACTTTCAACAATAAAATTGTTATACCAATATACCTAATATAATTCTGCAGGAATATGTCCTGTCAATTAATTCTCCACTCGAATCTCACCTATTTTAAATTTTTAAACATTCAATAAAATTATTAATTTATAGTACTCTTAATAATATGGGAAAGAAGAATTTCGTACATACATATTTATCACACGGAATTCATGTATTGCAATTAATAATTAATCATCACTAACTAGATATATATTATAGCAGTTTAGTGCTATTAGACGATTTTCTTTTACTTCCTTTCGACCAATGACGACCTCTATTATAATTAGCTTGAATTTGATATGAATTCTGTTAGAGGGTGATGACCATGTATAGAGTTATTGGACCCGTTGCAGTGTGCACTGACGCTAATAGTGACATAAGCGATTGACAAATATTATCTGTAATCTGTGATGACAATGCTAATGTTGGCTTGATCAACCATACATAATTTCCGTACTAGTTTTATGATGTATTGATTTGGTCAGAAAACATCATGCCAACGTTTAGTTCAATGATGAAATCACAATTATAGTGTTAAATTAACTAACAAAAATATTAACAAATGTCATACAAATAGCTGCCATTTAAACTATTTGTTAACAGTTTTAAACATTATATATATCTTTTTATTTTAACATGGGAATTACGGCTACATATAATTAATATTAACTCTATTACGAGGTCTTCTCTAGAACTAGATATTATGGGAATTGTTGAAAACTTGTGTTTACTATAAATAATATTACGAAATGGAGATATCAAGGTAATATTGTATAAAATAATAAATATATTTAAGAATGTTATCTTTTGTTTTATTTTTGCTAAAAAAATAATCATCGGATTAAACAATTTGATATAAAATTTATACATTTCTTTTAGCATATGATTCGTGTTTCTATTATCAAACTAGTATAATATAACTCTATTCGTTTGAATTTAGAAAATCAGGCTGACCAACATAACAAGAAAAGGAAAATTTTTGTGTAGATTGAATTCCTGATCAAACCGTATTACGTGGCTTGTCTGAAGTGCCTTCTCTATTAGTTAGTCCCTTAGTTATATATTCTTTGGGTTTGATGATTTCACTAATCTGTGGTTTGATAATTGATTATAAAATTAAGCAAATTTTTCAAATTTATAACCAAATCAATTCCATATTTTTACGATTTTCTCATAATTACATTAATTACTATCTTGATCTTGTATAATTTCCAATAATAAGATTTTCTTCAATCATTGACTTAAAAAGGCATTCATATTTTTAAATTATATAATATTAGAGCAAAACTCGCACTAAATATAGAAATTTAAATAGTTTCTTAACTGGCAGTGAACTTTAATAAAAATGTACAATTTAGGATTTATTGGTGGCGGCAATATGTCCACTGCTATTGCCAGAGGAATCGTTGAAAACGGTTAGTGCAGATTACTGTTTATATCATGATTAATAGTTTTAACCGTCAGTGGATACCATTAACATTAGACGTATTACATGAAACAGCTTTTAACTCCATATAATCCAATTAATATCACTCATAACAGTCAATCGAAAAAATGTCATATTATTATGATGAAAGCTGATTGTCTCGAAGAACTAATATGTCCCTAAATATATGATATTACAAAATAAAATCTGCAGTGCATTTTGAATTAGTTTATGTAATGTCGATATTGAGTCTCTCTATATTAGTAAACTTTAATATTTTCTTCTTTTTTATAATGAATTCCACCATAGACACATTAATATTTAACAAGGTATAAAAGTACCCACTGTTAAGAACCTCCTTGGTTCAATGGCAGGTGATATGCATCCCAGTAGCGCTTGTCAATGTAAAATAAAAAAAATAATAGAATAAAAAATGACTGATTACCCTTGTTGTCTTAGATACTATGAACATTAACTGAACTTGCTAACTGACTAATATTAACTAGTGTAAGTAACTAAAATCCTAGTCCTGGTTTTCCTTAATACTTATCCTGATCCTGGCATTGCTTAATACTGGTCAGTGCTACTACCAATTTCCTATATTACCCACTTCAATATATACAACAGTAATCCTACATGATACTACCCTACCTGATGGGTGCATAAAAGAGGTATTTTCCCTTTTATAACCCATTACGAAATGATATTTACTCTTATTTTCATAAACAATTATTTTTTTACAGATGCACACCCCGTTTCGAAAATCTGGGTGTCAGGACCCAATTTGAAGAATTTGAAACACTGGAGTGAATGGGGTACTAATGTTACTACTCAAAACAGTGAAGTATTCTGCAATTGTGACATCATATTTTTAGGTGTAAAGCCTGGAATGTTATCAACTGCTGTTAAAGAATGCCAGTCTGATTTAACAAAAAATTTATCCCTTAAGAATGTGTTGTTTATTTCTATGCTAGCTGGAATTACTATTGATCGATTACAGAAGGTTTGTTGAGAATCATATTTAAAAAGTACATATTATCTCACAAATAAAATATGATTTGCGAAGTATGGGCATTTGAACTATTAACAATTTATTTATAAACTCACATATTATTTCTTTCTAACAGAAAAATTAAAATTTGCAATAAAACCTTTTCGATTTCTAGTAAAATCTAAAAGTAAATTCATTTTAAATTCATTTTTTAATTTGAAATACAGTTACCAATATTACTAGTAACTGTGTTTATTATACTCTACCAATAGTGATTGATGGAGATGGTGATTGAGATGGCAGTCGAGCAATATTTATAAATATTTAATCTTCTAAAACTATATTATATTTCAGGAATTAGCAGTGTTATCACAAAATGTGGGTGTCATACGCATAATGCCTAATACTCCAATGAGTGTCGGTGCAGGCGCATGTTTGTACACACCTGGTCAAGGGGTTACTTTAGCACAATGTGAAATATTAGAAAAACTAATAAATAACTGTGGTATTAGTGAAAAAGTGCCAGAATCCTTAATAGATCCTCTTGGTGCCTTGACTGCTTGTGGTCCTGCTTTTGTAAGTATATATTACTTTAAAAAAATAATTTATTAATAGCATTTATTTCAACACAAATTTTAAATTTAAGCTATATTAATTGTTAGGTAAACCTAATAATTATTAAAGTTTAATAATAAATAAGGTATACAAGTACTTATAGTTACAATTTAATTATATATTATTATATTTTGTTATAATGAACTATCTGTATGTTACTAGATTACTACTTAGTTTTTTATAGGTTTTTTTTTATGATTTTTTTGCAATTACTTATTTTACACATGTTTATGTATTTTAATTTTTTTTGTGACTATTTTTATTACCTTTCAGTAATGTGTTATGCTTTTTTATTTCAGATGTACATAGCAATAGAAGCACTGGCAGATGGAGCGGTAAAACAAGGTGTACCAAGAGCAATAGCAATACGTTTAGCTGCCCAAATGGTGGCTGGCAGCGGTAAAATGGTGGTACAGTCTGGGAAGCACCCTGGCCTGCTCAAAGATGAAGTATGCTCCCCTGGTGGTTCTACTATATGTGGAGTTACCGCTCTAGAGGATGGCAAGTTAAGGTAATGTGCAAAGTATCTATTCTGGCGTGCTAATGTTTCAGTTTGAATATTTTGGATGACAATGAAATTACAGTATAATTAAAAGTATAACATCACAGGGCTAAGGAATATCGGCAATAGTAGTGTATGTTAGGCACTGATGCTAAAATAAATGATGATATGATAAAATATCATGGGCGTAACACTATATACTGTGATGTCTAATGGTGCTGTAGATAATACTTGCCACTTTCCATAAGGGCAATCCACTTTATTGATTGTTTGCAATACCCTTTATAATAAAAATAAACATTGGAGAGCAACCTAAGTAAACAATCATGTTTACTTGCCATTGTTAGTTAATGGCTTGTTTTTAATAGTAATAATAAAGATAGAGTTTTTTCTACGTTAGGTATCAAATGTCTATAACTAATTTCATCAGTATTGTTTATTTTATTTCACACTAGCTTTTACCTGTTAGTTCGTCCGCGTAACTGTGATATGTTTTCTGGGCGTGATAAAAAATAATTTATACCTTCTCCATTCCATATTGTATGTGTACACCAAATTTCAGACTGATTAGTTAAGCCGTTAAGATGCTATAAGGTAATAAACAAACAAACTCACTTTTACATTTATTATTTTAGTAAGAATTGCATATTGAACATCTTAATATTTTTAAACCTTAAAAAAGGAGTAGATTTTCTTTTAATTGTATTTACGGTAATTAAGTATCACTGTTCTGTCTTGATATCTTTATTACATTTAACCCTTCTTTGCATAATTTTTTTATTGGTGAAATAAATCAAGGTGATATTAATTCATGTTCAAAATTAAAGGAAAAATGGTTAAAAAAATAAATTTGACAGCTATATTTATTTTTCTGTAGTGGACATTGAAAAGGTCAATCAAATCCAGACACGATCAACTTTAAGTGAATTTGTCCTTTTATATAATTTTTGGGCATTCAATGTTATGATGGAAATTTTCACCATTATGCAAAGAAGGGTTAAACTAAAAGTTTAGTAACAGATTTAATACTAAATTATGTATATAAGATCAAAATTTATGTCATTTTTAGGGCAACATTAATCAATGCTATTGAAGCTGCAACACTTAGAACCAAGGAGATTGGAAAGAATTAAGAAGTATTAACAACAACACATTTACTGCATCTATGTTTCCTAGCTATTAGTAATTTTATTATAGATATATTTGTGTTTAACAGGCTGTAATAATTTTATTTATTCATGTAAACATGATTTTAATATAGTTGAACTATAAATTGAATGTAAAAATTATAATTAAAATTATTGATGTCATATTTTACAGCAGTCAGATTTAATAAAACAATAAAATTAAACATTGTCATAGTCGTAGAATACTGACGGATCTGACAAAGATTACCATATAAAGATCCGTCAGTATTCTATGACTATGACGATATAAAATACAAATGAAATAATAAATACATATTATAAAACAATGAAGTAGATCTACTTCATTGTTTTATAATATGTATTTATTAAAATCCTAAACTATTATAAAAGAAAAATATAAATTACTGATATAATTTAACAGGTATCAAGAAAGTATTACTAAAACAGCAGTATTGCTTACCTTAAAGAGTATTTTTTTGTACACTTCAATTATTAATTTAAGCACAATGACTATTATTTATAATTATATGATAGTTAATTATCCTTAAACTTATGTCACACCATCTAGCCCCCAATTATGTAGTTTGTACTACAAGTACAAAAAAACTGATATAAGAGACATATAAGAAAAAATCTGCAACTATCAGAAGGTGTTTGGTGTGTTGAACTGCTAAACTATTGTCGTCATATAATTTTAATCAAATTTAATTTTACTATGACATAGTCTAAGTCTAAATAATATTGTGATAATTATTATGAATCTCGTATATTTTTATGAATTTCTCTTCAGAAATTGTATTACATTAATGAAACATGTTGTGATTGTATTTTATTATCTTTTATAGATATTTTGTTATCATTTTATTTAAGTATATATAATATAATATTATAACTATTGCATATAATATTGATTGTATTATTCTACAGGTAAAATATATAACGTATCAATCAATTTTGTATGTTGGTATTTATAAATAACAGTTTCGTGTTTAACTCGGTGTAATTTTCTACAATTATTTATGTCATTATTTCCAATAATTATATGTATCTGTATTATATCAATCCATTAAAAAATAAATAAGAAACTTGCAAATAAAATGTGAAACTACGATTATTCTTTATTTTATTATAATACTTACATATTACTGTATTAAAATCATTAGCTTTATGTCCATAACATTTGTGTTAAAGAAAAAATAATGTTTACCTATAACATATTAACTTTGCAATTTAATTTCATAAGTAATAGCATTTTTTTTTGTTAAACAATATAATATGCAATAATTATATTTTTTCATATTTTTATTTAGTGATATTGTTAATTTTCTCAATATATGTACTGTACAAATACATGACCGTGTCTAGTGTAATATTGCTATTTTATAGATTTGATTTATTTGTGAGGAATAATCTCTGGAATTACTAAACCCATTCTAAAAAATCTATCACTAAATAATAGTATCTTTCTACTATTTAGTAAATATAGCGCTATCTGTGCTATATTTCTCACAGGAATACTTTGGGATTGGGATATAACAGTCACTCGAGCAGATTCAAAAGAAATGAAATCATACTTAGACATGTAGTTTAGTCGAATAGTGTACGCAACTATTTTATATATTGTAATTTTTTACTCTACCCAGTGATATAATGAAGCAAAATGTCATTGACTCCATAGCCCAGTTTAGCGAGTAGTTTTCAGCCATGCAACTTAATAGTTAGAAGTTAAAATTGTTCTTTCACTTGGAATTATTAATTTAATTATCAAATTTAAAGCTTTAAACACCTCTTTCTTTAGCAGCAGACGTCCATATATAAAAAATGCAATATACCTACATTTCATAGCGTCATCTAGTCCTAAACTAAGCCGAGCTTATTTTATAGATACTAGACAATTGATATACACACTTAAATATATTTTTTATTAATAAAATATTGTTAAATAAAATAATGAACGGCACAACAATTAGAAATAAGCTAATAGATTGTTCTAAATTTTGTATTTGTTATGTATACATAATATATATGTTATTAGTGTGATATTCACTTTACTTTTTTTCGTAAAATAGTTTATTATGCTCATAAATAAATATAATACCTAAAAGTTGTAGTTTGCTTTTTGTTATAAAACTAATTTTGGTTTTTTATTGTAAAGTAATAAAGTTCTGTTAGAATATGAAATATGTATGTTGTGGAGAATAATAAATATTATTACTATTATCGATTTTGATTTCACAATCCTTTACAATTGAGATTTGGTAGCATATGGTGATGGCATTCGTTCACCCATCCGAGCCAAGCGCTAAAATTTTGTTGTTTGTAAATCGTTTTGGCACATATCGATGCTGTGGTGATATCGTCGCTTAGAAGATCTGTCAAAAATAACAAATACATATTTAAAATTTTGTTCATTTTGGACTTCCGTATCAAAAGGAAAAACGGAATCCTTATAGGATCACTTTGTTTTTCATTTGTTTGTCAGTCTGTCAAGAACTTTTTTTTCAAGAACATATGGGGCTATCAAACTGAAATTAATATTAAATACTCAAGCTACAATTTCTTGAAGCTACGAAAACATCAAACTTGCAAGTTAACGCAATCAAAAGACACGGCCATTTACATCATATATTTTGTCATTTGCAAAGCTTTACTCACGCATTGCAATAAAAATTCAAAGAATATAAAATATGTGACTAAAAATGTTTACAAAGTTTCGACCAAGAAGCTATCCAGACCACTACTGAAAACTTTCCCTCACAAAAACAAATGGAGTATCACGTCTATTTATGGTCACACACACACTGAAGTAATAGTTTAAGGGACGTGCCATGTTAACATTAGACAATCTATAGGTATCTGAATATATCAATCATAGTTTGTATCAAATCCATAGAGAAAGACTATATAATTTTATTAGTAACTAAACAATCTAGTTTTATAAGTATGGCGAGTAAGTATTTAAGCCATGTAAATATAATGGGTATACCTCTACATCTAACGTTGCATCCTTTCCCAGGGTTGCTACCGTTGTTACACCAGTAACGATCGTTGATTTGAAAGAGTCCATAGTCGAAGGATCCGTCTTCGTCTGGTCCACCAATCGCAAATGTGTGACGGGAGCTTTCCGCTTCTACTATACACACCCCTAAAAATACCACAAAATCAAAAACCTCCTGATTCTATTTCATATAAACAAGTAACCAGACTAACTAACAATCCTGCAACTTGATATATTTCAAATAAACAGATGAGATGACTTGCTTGACGAAAAATTTTACACCTCAACACCTATATATACGTACATGAATGCCCATGGTGGTAGTGCTAACGATGATGCATTGCCATCTTAGTTCTATTATATGCTTCAGTATTTTATCATTGCTATTATGTTTGTTACCTCTTTAATTTCATTATTTATTAACTATTTTGGAAAATTATTGTTTTATCTAAATATTTGTACATTGATCCCATAGAATTTTATCAAAATCGGTTTATAGTTTAATTTTGAAATCAAAATAACTGGTTTTGCCACAAATGAAGTTAATTTTTTTTTGTATAATTTAAAATTATTTGAAGTACATAAAGCGAATTTTTACTCTGATGGCTTCGAATTTCATGGACCGCTTTGCATAATTTTAAAAGTGAAATATTATTAAAACTTACAGTCTTTTAGCTGATTCTCAGGAAATCCTTGTGTTTTAAGTTCTATAGCCAGTTCACATTGCGTGAAGGTTTTGTTTAGAGCTTGACATATTGAAATCATACTAATTATCGCGGTAACAATATTTTTATACATTTTGTATTGTTTTTCTTGAGCTTATAAAACTAACTGACTGGTCGTACGTTCCTAGTAGGTAATTTATGTCAAGGATTACAATCCGTAACGTACTTATATTTAAATGGCGATTGTTGAAACCTGTTGATTTTCGTCAATAAATTGACGATTCGTTTAATAATTACCAGTTTCTTTTTTTGTTATAATGTTATTATGTTGTTAATTTTTTTATCCAACTTATATTAGCAAACAAGCTGACGGCGCACTTTCCATGAAGTGGGTAGTAAAGTTGAACAAGTTAAAACTAACCTATCTTTCAAGATGTGGGTCATTGCTTGTTCGTGGGTAAACAATATTTTTAGGTAATTTTCAAATGCAGGGACCCTTAATTCGACTGTATTTTTATCTGTATGTCAAGCAATATGTTACGAACAAAGTAAACACTAGTGATTACAAAATTGGTTTAGAATTAGTGAACAAATTGAGTGACATACACACAAAATACACTTACAAGTGAAATAAGAGTAAGAGAGGATTTTTTTCACTTATCTCTATTAGTAGAAATAAATGAAAATTCATTTACGGCGATATACTCCTTGCACTGTGGTTTTGAATGGATATCTGCATAGATATACATATATCTATTAATATAATTAGGTATCCTTTTTGTACTCTTAATAAATTTCTACACATCTAATCTATTTATTCCTATCAGGTGGAGAAATAATTCCACTTAACTTCCTAAGGGGAAGTTGGTAGGAACAAGTGAAAATGACCGTTTAATTTTGCACACAGAATCAAATAGATACTCTAGCCTTGAAAACCCTCAGGATTTTATTCCTTGGTTGCTCGAATAAGAAAGGAAAAAGCAAATAGTTTTTTTTAAAGAAGTGTAATATTAATCATATAGAGATGAAATCCGTTCTTACGTCTCACTCTCCAATAAAGAAAGGATGCCAAGTAAGACTCACCTACCACTGACACGGTGTTTATTTTGGTATGAGTGGATGGATTTATCCTAAATTATCTATATTATAACATAAGCGCACCATATAAGAAATAAAATAAGGCATTATTAATTTATCTGTTACCAAACCACAGTTTAAAATAATCTCTCCTATATAGTCTTTTTGCTGCTATGGTCTATTTAAATAGAATACTTGAGTATGTTATACTTAGTTTAAAAATAAGATATGTAAAATAAAAAAATAAAAAATCTGCATAAATTTAGTTCATTATTTATTTTGAAGCCTATTACATCACAATAACATTAGGTACCAATAACCTTTTATTTAAAGTGTCAGGCATAATTACCTGTCTTCTAAAATATCACCAATTAGTTTGTGACTCTATCTCTCAATTTTCGTAACACTTTTTCTCAGTCTCCTTTAGCATTTCATACAAAAAACCAAATTTGTTATCTATTGATATTATGCATGGATCATCTTTTTAACCAATCTAGATTATTATTTTTATATTAATTTCACTTTGGTTCTTGCGTAAAGAATACGAAAATAGTCATTTCTGATAGTAACATATATGGTGTAGTAATTACACTCCGGCCATAAAACATGTCAGGGTCAAGTAACCTAAGTAGATATTTCTAATTCTTTTCCTCCGTAGACCAGTATATTTTCCTGGTGGTTTGTGCGGGCGTATAAGGATGATACGGGTGCACACAAACTGTTTTCCTTGTAAAAATGAATAATGACATCCGCCGCGCTAAGCCAACACCAATATCGATGCTTTTGCGTCTTGGTATATCCATCATGGGTGCCTGTTCTTCTTCATCTTCATCAGCGCCTTTAAAACAATTTATTTTCTGTAAACTGTGCCGAATTTTTCCAATGTTTGGTCTCAGCTTTGTTTGAAAGCTCGGTAGTCTTCGCAGCAACGGATTTTGGCTTTTCTCTTCATAATTTTTTATTGTTTTCTCTTGGGGTTTGCAGTCACTGCTTGACGGCTGCGCGTCTTCGATTCTTACTTGTTTCACGTAATCTTTCGTTGTTTCGGCTAAAGCAACCAACGGATATTCCTCAAAACTCATCACGTAATAGCTCCGCTTTATACCATGTTACATGGTTTCGTTAGTTGACTGTCGCAGAATGAGCTCTTGGCATTGATTGAGTGTGACGTATCTCTAAGATAAGATTTAGATAACAGAGATTAGGTATAAACATCATCGTAACGCATTGATTTATATATATATATATATATATATATATATATATATATATATATATATGTATAAATTAGTTATTAATAATAAGCGAACTGTGTACAAATGCATCTTTTTCAGCTGCATCTCCCGTGTTTGCAAACACTTCACTACGCATGTTCTTTTCATCCACTCTTTTATGTTTAATTTTACAATTAATTAGATATCTTTATAATATAGTGGGTATAACTACCTTATCTATAGGTATGCAAAATGTTAGCGCTACGAGACTACGAGTATAAGGCTAATAATAATAATAAATAATAATACGCCATACACATACATTACCTTCTATACAAAACATACACACTATACTTTCTTGGTCATGAACCCGTAAGTGTGGTATTTATTTATTTATTCATTAGTACATAAATGTGTACATGGCGGACTTAATGCTAAAAGCATTTTCTCCCAGTCAATCATAGGGAATTGTCAGAATACTCGAATGCGGTACTAGTAGTTATTGATATGCATACATACTAAAATTACATATATAGACGAATAAATATATATAAATAACAAATATACTTACACATATACTATAACAAATACTATATTATACAAGAAATTAATATAAAGTAGGTACTTATTACTCGGAAAAAGTAAAAAAGTGAGCATGAACGTTTTTTTTTTAAAGACGGTATACGTTGAAAAGCTTATTTAGCTCTAAAAGCTGAGAAGTTTGAAAGTAAATAATAATAATCTCTAAAAGAAATCAGAAACTCTTAAAATTACTTGGTGTAATAAGCCCGTAAGTCTAACCTCTATCTTATTAGTGTTTCTAACGTGAAGCAGTTGTATTTGCATGGCTATGTTTCGGTTTGAAGGGTGGGATATGGCACTGAATTTACGGAGTATAGAAGAATAACACCCGAGTCCTCAGGAATGGCAACGCATGGGGGGGCGAAACAGTATACTTTGTTATATCCATAATACTGCTCATGTCTATAGGCGACGATTATCACTTTCCATCAGGTGGGTTGTCAGTTTATTTGCCATTCTAAGTTGCATAAAAAAAGTCTAAGTTTGCAAACCTCAACAAATGTTTTAAGTCTAAAGAATGAAAAACTTAAATAATAATAATAATATCTAAAGGAAATCACTGTGACATAATAACAAAAGAGTAGATATTACGGTTTAACTTTTTACTACGGAACCCTGAAAAATATACCGCTACTTACAATTTGACCTTGACTGCAGTCGCCGTGAGTTTTTAGCCAAACTTCCGCAACTGGTCACTCTTAAAGTGTTCTCAGTTATAATATTTTAATACCTAAAGAGACTGATAGGCGAAAAACCCCTCAAAGATTAATACCATGTAAAAAACGCATTCCAACTTCTATAATATAAAAATGAATCGCTGAATGTGTTGCTAAGTGCAAATTTCGAGAACAGCTGAACCGATTTCGGTAATTCCTTTTTTAGAATATTCCTTTAAATACGAGGCTGGTTCTTATGGAGAGAAAATTTTATAAAATTGTCTGAAAAAGTCTAAAAATAACAATTTTCTATACTCCCATACAAACGATTCGTAATAATATTTAAAAGTCAATTTGAATTTTAATACCATACCATAAAGTTCAAGTGTTAGCGGAAAGGTTCTGGAAAAGCAAAACCATTGAGTGACGTGGCACGGGTTTTAGAATTTATATTTTTTAACATAATGTAATTATTGACTTATCAAGTTCTTTTTTTATTTTTTTTTATTTAACTAGCTGACGCGGCATCCGGAATAGTCGATTAAATATTAAAAAAATTAAAGAATCGACTGTTAGGCGGTACGAAGTTTGCGGGTCAGCTAGTATAAAATATAGGGGGGGGGGAGATATTGCTAGTAATGTGGACTACCAGTCCCATTGCTAGCAATATACCCTGTCAGGTCGACCTCCACGTGGTCCCTCCTGGAAACCATCTTGGTGAATTCCAGATAGGTATTCATCACGATGGGCTAACTGATCTGTCATTCATTCTCACCTATCATCCCTCACTATTTCTTTATTTTCACCTATCGTGCCCCACCAGCGTATACCGTTAGCGCAGGAGGAGTTACCATTCCATTATCATCTATTAATAAAAAAGTATAAAATATAAACAGCCTGAGTTATATTACGTTACGTTAAATGCTATGACGGTAGCTTTACTCAGTGGTTTCTATGGAAAGCCTCGTTATGTCATATATGTATATTCACCACAACGTTAGTACCTTTCTGCTGTGTAAACATATACATACAAAAGTGAATTTTTTTTCGAAATATCGATTGCTTCTATACCTTTGCTTCTCGTGTTACACTTATTATCAAGCAACTCTATATAGTGTACGATTATAGGCCGTGTTTCGGTTTGAAAGTTAGAATATAAGCATAAGGTCTTAGTTATACAGATTCGTCGGGTAGCACCAGGAACGGCATCATCAGGAATATGCACCGGTAAAGGAAGATTGGTCGGGTGGCTCCAGGAGCGACATCATCGGGAATATATAATAGTAAAGAGTCAATCAAATTCGGCGTTGGTAATTTTTTATTCACTTTGGAGAGGCGCTATAAAAAATTTTCTAGATACGTAGTAGTAATCAGGTAGTAAGTAATCAGGGCCAAAATCGGTCCTGTTACTATACTACTCACGATTTTTTAAATGTGAGACCTCACACGAGGGCTGCATTTAAAGTTTAGGAGACATTAAATTTCAGAGTGCCTGGATCATTAGTCGATCGTTCTATTTACTTAATTATCACCATTATTGGGGACGACTATTTGGGTATCTCTGTCCTCTGTACCACTCATGCTCTTACCAAGAAGCAGCTGTACTTGAATAACGGTGTTTCGGTTTGAAGGGTTGAGATATGTTAGTAAAATTACATGGTAAGAAGACATAATAACATAACCTAAATTACGGGATTAGCAATTCATTAA